ACTGTGTACAGTGAAGCCCTTGGAAGTGTGCCTGGCATAGAAGCAATCAATAAATGTCTGTTCTATCATCACTATTAACTCAGCTTGGATTTATTGAAGACTTGCTCCCTGCCAGGCCCTGGGCAATTCATTGGGCTGCAGATTAAAGACATTGTCTCTGGCCTCCAGGAATTTACAGTCCTGTAGGAGAGATCTGTGCATAGTTAAATGATAGGTGTTAGAGACAAATAGAGGCTGTGGTAGCACAAAGGCGGAGTGATGGGCTCTGTCCCGGGCGTAGCCTGGGGCCGTTTGAAGGCAGAGGGTGTGGTCCAGGTTTGGGGCAGGCGCAGGGCTCCCCTTGTGGCTCAGGCGGTAAGGAATCTGCCTGATGAATCAGGAGATGCAGGTTCGATCCCTGGATCCAGAAGATCCCCTGGAGAAGGAAATGGCACCCCACTCCAGTGTTCTTGCTTGGAGGGTTCCATGGACAGGGGAGCCTGGTGGGCTGTATAGTCCACGGGGCCACAAAGAGTCGGACACGACTGAGCGACTAACACAGAAGCAGGAGGCAGGGGCGAGCCTGAGAGATGGGAGGGGAGGTGCTGATTTGGGCCCCTGAGGGCACAAGAGGAGGGCTTGGAGAGCACAGAGCTTTGGGGTCGTCCAGGGCCTGGGACTCTCAGGGGAGGGAGATGACATTGAAGGGGTGGTTCAGGGCTGGGTCTCAGTGACCTTACCTGGGCGCTGCCCAGGAGCTTGGACTCTGTAGCACGTGAGGGCTCTGGGGAGCCAGGGAAGGCTTTTTTTAGGCAAAGGGAAGAACATGATCAGATTCATGTTTTAGAAAGTTGACTCTGGAGATCAGTTAGGGGGAGGCATAGAGGTGAGGCTGCCTGATGCAAGGGAGAGCCTGGAGGCAGGCAGACCTGGGGACTCTCCTATCTGGGACGCACGGTGATGGGGCTCAGCTAAGGCCGTGAGCATGGCGTGGAGGGGAGGATATTGGAGTTGGGGCGTAATACGGGGCCACGTTAACTTGGTGGAGTGCGTCGGAGTGTGGGGCTGAGGGTTAGAAGAGTGAGGAGGACTAGTGGGCAGATGGGTGTCCCATGGGCCAGGAAGGGGAGAATGGGAAGGAGAGTTTGGGGAGGAAGTGGTGGGGTCAGTTCTAGCAGGTTGAATTGGGAGGAGGGGAAGGGGTTGGATTATTTTGTCTGAATGCTTTTGAACAACCAGGTAGAAACACATTCAGCTGCAGAAGAGGTCCGAGTTGGAGCTGGTGGCCGGGAAGGTTGTCTGGGGAGTGCAGGGTGAATGGGGATGAGGGCAGCTGGCGGAGCCGCGAGGAACACCCAGGTCCAGAGGGTGGAGACCCCAAGGGCATGGAGTAGCCACAGGAGGGTGACCGGGGAGGGTCTGGTAAGAGAGGGCAGAGGACTGACGTTTGGACTTGGCCACAGGGGGTTGCTCGTTGACCTGGTGAGAGCGGTTCCCTGTTACGGAGGCAATAGGGGCCAGAGAGCGTGAAACAGTCAGAGGTGAGCAGAGCGCAGTGCGCACAACCCCGGAGAAGCTTAGCTGTGACTGGGAGAGCGTGGAGCCTGCTCCAAGAGCTCAAAGAAGGGAAAGCTCCGAGGTAGACGGATGAGCCCCTCTGGGACCAGGGATGGGGGTGGGGAGAGGAGGAGTCTGGAGGGGGTTACTTCAGCAGTCTCCGTTTCCTCTGACATGGAAAGGGAAGTGAGTAGGGATCGAGGAAGGTACTGGAAGTTTGGGCTGGCCACTGAAGAGAATGGATGATGGAGTGTCATGCCTCCTGCCCCCAGATTCAAATGGATTCCACTGCAGGATAAAATCTGTTTTAGACGCTTATGAGCATTTTTTATGGGTGTATAGATTTTTTAAAAAGTGTTTGTAGCTTATTATGTGAGCTTCTTAGAATGTGGGAGACCCAGGTTTGATCCCTGGGTGGGGAAGATCCTCTGGAGAAGGAAATGGCAACCCACTCCAGTACTCTTGCCTGGAAAATCCCATGGGAGAAGCCTGGTAGGCTACAGTCCATGGGGTCACAAAGAGTCGGACACGACTGAGCAACTTTACTTACATGTGAGCTTCCCAGGTGGTGCTAGTGATAAAGAACCCGCCTGCCAATGAAGGAGACGTAAGAGACACAGGTTTGATCCCTGGGTCAGGAAGATCCCCTCGAGGAGGCCAGAGCAACCCCCTCCAGTATTCTTGCCTGTGAAATCCCATGAAACAGAGGAGCCTGGTGGGCTACCATCCATGAGGTGGCAAAGAGTCGGACACGACCAAAGCGACTTAGCCTGCAAAGCTTATTATGTACAAGGAGAAAAGACTGGAAGACCATACTCCAGAATGTTAACAGTCCTAATCTTTGGATGATAGAATCAGAGGGGTGGGTTTTCCCTGTTTTCATTTTCTCTTCTCTCTGCATTTTTAAAAGTCATGAACCAGTATTGCTTTGGAAATGAGGAAAAGACAAGTACGTTTTGCTCTGCTGAGGTGCAGTGACGTGGAAGCTTTGAGCCATTCCTGTGAGATGTAAGTGGCAGATGGACGAACAGGGTGTTTCTTTTAGTGCACGTGTGACAACCGTGGCAGAAATGTCTCAGCGGGCCTTCCAACTCCGCGGAACAAACTTCCTTACCATGAACTAGTATGTTCTGAAATCTGCGGAAATGAGCCCAGAAGAGCCTGTTTGTTTGTTTTTCAAAGAAGGACAGAGAAAGGGAGCAAGGCGGATCCCTCAGCTCTGGGAGTGGTCCAGCTCATCTCTTGCTCTGCGAGGGAGGCTTCCTGGGTGTGTGGGGTCTTGCCTGGATGGGAGTGTGCCTTCAAGGAGATGTGTGCAGAGGCAGTTCCATGGAGGGGAAACCTTTGGAAAAGAGGCTGTGCTCTTGAATTGATGTTTCTGTGGCTGGGGTCTGGAATAGCGGGCGGTAACGAGAAGACCAAAAGACAGCTCCAGGTGCCGTTGGTGGTGTAAAGCTCTTATAGCCTTTATGGGGGGAGAGGGGTCTCCTGAGGTTTACAGCAAATTTTGGTGGCAGGGACCTTAAATGCTGGACCTGGGTCGGGGGGGGGTGTGAAAAAGCAACTTTCATTTAGGAAAACAGCCCCATTGCCTCATCTCCTTGGGGAGACAATGTTCCTTAGTGCTTTTCCCTCGTACACGTGACAACAGTGACTTCCAGATGTGATTCTTTGGCTTCAGGATCCATGAAAGGTCACGTGATTGCCCAAACTCAGTTGCTTTTTTACATTAAAGAGAATTTAAAATACAGTCCTCTGGAGTTCCCTGCAATCCTTCTTCCTGGGTCAGCGCCCTTCCCAGGCCCCTTTCAAAGTCCATCAGGGTGGTCTGGGCCCTGGTTTGCCTCTGAAGACTTCCAGACCCTGACGCTCCACTGGTGCCTTAAGGGGGACACTCAGCTCTCTCTGGATGAGACACCTCATAGCATCTCGGTTACAAAATTCAGGAAAGTTGCTCATACTCCTGCTTTGGATAGCTCCTTCCTGAGTATCTATTTTTCCTGGTTTTTCAAATGAGTTTTTTTCCTTATTGTAGAAGCCACATGTTCATATTAGAATATTTAAGAAATATAGTTAAAAGTTAATTAAAAATTACTGTGATTTTACTACATGAAATAACCATTAACACTTGGCACACACATGTGTTTCTGTATTTGTGCATGTGTGATGTTTACCAAAATGGGTCTGTAGTCTACATATTATTTGAGAATCTACTTTTCCCTTTAACAGTCTATCATAGATGTTTCCTGTGTCAATAACTGTGTACTTTTATGGCATATTTGATGTCAACTGCTGGTTGCTCATTCATGTCCAACTCTGCGACCCCGTGGACTGTAGCCCACCAGGCTCCTCTGCCCATGCAATTCTCCAGGCAAGAATAATGGAGTGGGTCGCCATTCCTTTCTCCAGGGGCTGTTCCCGACCCAGGGATTGAACCTGGGTCTCCTGAATTGCAGGCGGACTCTTTCACTGTCTGAGCCACCAGGGGAGTGCAGCCAACTCTGTCCTAAGTGACACTGTGTGTGCCAGGCAGTCCTCGCCTACCAAAGTTGGTTTGCGTTTGGAATTTCTGTGGCGGGCTCTCCTGGCATCTGACTGTATTTTGAAGACCAGATTTTTTTTTTTTTGACTTCTGTTTTGAACTTTTAGAAAAAATTAACATGAAATACTTGAGACAGTCAAAAGGGTATCAAGGATAATATGATGACCACTCGTGTGTTTACCTCCCAGCTTTGTAAATTAAAAACAAAACTTACAAAGACAGGTTAGCTTCTTTATATGTCCCACCCTCACCCCCACTTCATTCCACTCCCAGCCTCCCCACCACCACAGAGCTGATCATTTTCCTGGGTCACATTTTCAGCATCTTGGTGTGAAGAGCACTTTGCATATTTGAGGGCAGTGGCTCACAGTTTCTTGTGGATTCATAAGAACTAAACACAGATTATCAATCCATGACAACAGTCCTGAAAAAGAAGAAAATAGCACTTGATCCCATTTTAAACAGAACCCAGTAAGATTCAGAGCTGTGCACTTTGACCTGAGTGAACTGGACTGTTTGATGTGATAATCCCCAGTGAACATTGGCAAGAACTGAAGCAGGCCCTGGGAAATCTAATGTAGACCAAAATAGCAGTTGATGAGTCACATCCTCAGCGAAATATTTACTGATACATAGGAAAGGATGCATTCAGTGAAAACAGTTTTGGTAAAATGGCAATAGAAGGTCATCAGGAACAATGTAACTGTCCAGTGTGGACAATTGTTCACTTTCCCTAGGGTTCTCTTCCCCAGGTAAATTCTTATCGTCAGTGTTGCCATAACTCGCAACGGACCCCACGCGTCGTTGGCATGAACACGCCCGGTCCCCGTGCGTGGACTGCCACGGCCGGATGACGGCCACCCCCGCGGTGTGTCAGCACCGAGGGGCCCTGGCCTGACCGTGACGTCTCTCTTCCTCGCAGGGCGCGGTCCCCAAAGGGAACGCCACGAAAGAGTTCATCGAGAGCCTACAGCTGAAGCCCGGGCAGGTGGTCTACAAATGTCCCAAGTGCTGCAGCATCAAGCCTGACCGAGCCCACCACTGCAGGTACGCCAGGCCTGCCCGGGCCCTCCTCAGCCCTGCCCCCGCCGTCTCACCACACTCCCGACTACCTTCGGCCTCGCACCCTCCCCCCCGTCGTCGCCGTCCACACTCCCCCCCTACCGTCGCCCTCCACACTCCCCCCCCACCATCGCCCTCCACACTGCCCCCCCCCCACCGTCACCGTCCACACTCCCCCCCCACCATCGCCCTCCACACTCCGCCACCACCATCGTCCTCCATACTGCCCCCCACCGTCGTCCTCCATACTGCCCCGTACTGTCGCCCTCACACTCCCCCCACCGTCACCCTCACATTCCCCCCACCGACGCCCTCCACATTCCCCTCACGGGCACCCTCACACTCCCCCCTACTGTCGCCCTCACACTCCCCCCCCCACCATCGCCGTCCACACTCCCCCCCTCCGTCACCCTCACATTCCCCCCACCGTCGCCCTCCACACTCCCCCCCTCCGTCACCCTCACATTCCCCCCACCGACGCCCTCCACATTCCCCTCACGGGCACCCTCACACTCCCCCCGACCGTCACCCTCACACTCCCCCCCCACCGTCGCCATCCACACTACCCCCCACCTTCACCCTCACACTCCCCCACCACCGTCACCATCACATTGCCGCTCACCGTCGCCACCGTCACCCTCCACACTCCCCCCCCACCGTCACCATCACATTGCCGCCCACCGTCGCCACCGTCGCCCTCCACACTCCCCCACCACCGTCACCATCACATTGCCGCTCACCGTCGCCACCGTCACCCTCCACACTCCCCCACCACCGTCACCATCACATTGCCGCCCACCGTCGCCACCGTCACCTTCCACACACCCCCCCACCGTCACCATCACATTGCCGCCCACCGTCGCCACCGTCGCCCTCCACACTCCGCCGCCGTCCATGCCCGTGCGGGGCAATGTGTGTGCGAGGGTGGGGTGAGTGTGAGGGTGCCCGTGGGGGACCCGAACCGTCGCCGTCCACACTCCCCACAAGGGCACCCTCACACTCCCCACCCCACCGTCGCCGTTCACACTCCACCCCCACCGTCGCCCTCCACACTCCCCCCCCACCGTCACCATCACATTGCCGCCTACCGTCGCCACCGTCACCCTCCACACTCCCCGGCCATCCGTGCGGGGGAATGTGTGTGCGAGTGTGGGGGTGAGTGTGAGGGTGCCCGTGGGGGACCCGAACCGTCGCCGTCCACACTCCCCCCACCGTCGCCCTCACACTCCCCCCACACCGTCACCTTCCACACTCCCCCCCTACCGTCGCCGTCCACACTCCCCCACCGCCGTCGCCCTCCACACTCCCCCACCACCGTCACCATCACATTGCCACCCACAGTCGCCACCGTAGCCGTCCACACTCCCCCACCATCGCCCTCCACACTGCCCCCCCCCCCCACCGTCGCCGTCCACACTCCCCCCCCACCATCGCCCTCCACACTCCCCCACCACCATCGTCCTCCATACTGCCCCGTACTGTCGCCCTCACACTCCCCCCACCGTCACCCTCACATTCCCCCCACCGACGCCCTCCACATTCCCCTCACGGGCACCCTCACACTCCCCCCTACTGTCGCCCTCACACTCCCCCCCCCCACCATCGCCGTCCACACTCCCCCCCCACACTGTCGTCCTCCATACTGCCCCCCCACCATCGCCCTCCACACTCCCCCCCTCCGTCACCCTCACATTCCCCCCACCGACGCCCTCCACACTCCCCCCCCACCGTCACCATCACATTGCCACCCACCGTCGCCACCGTCGCCGTCCACACTCCCCAGCCGTCCGTGCCTGTGCGGGGGAATGTGTGTGCGAGGGTGGGGTGAGTGTGAGGGTGCCCGTGGGGGACCCGAACCGTCGCCGTCCACACTCCCCACACGGGCACCCTCACACTCCCGCCCACCGTCGCCTCACACTCCCCACCCCACTGTCGCCGTTCACACTCCACCCCCACCGTCGCCCTCCACACTCCCCCCCCACCGTCACCATCACATTGCCGCCCACCGTCGCCACCGTCACCCTCCACACTCCCCGGCCATCCGTGCGGGGGAATGTGTGTGCGAGTGTGGGGGTGAGTGTGAGCGTGCCCGTGGGGGACCCGAACCGTCGCCGTCCACACTCCCCCCACCGTCGCCCTCACACTCCCCCCACACCGTCACCGTCCACACTCGCCCCCCCACCGTCGCCGTCCACACTCCCCCACCGCCGTCGCCCTCCACACTCCCCCACCGCCGTCACCATCACATTGCCACCCACCGTCGCCACCGTCGCCGTCCACACTCCCCCGCCGTCCGTGCCTGTGCGGGGGAATGTGTGTGCGAGGGTCGGGTGAGTGTGAGGGTGCCCGTGGGGGACCCCAACCGTCGCCGTCCACACTCCCCACACGGGCACCCTCACACTCCCCCCCACCGTCGCCCTCACACTCCCCCCCCCACCATCGCCGTCCACACTGCCCCCCCACCGTCGCCCTCCACACTCCCCCACCACCGTCACCATCACATTGCCGCCCACCGTCGCCACCGTCACCCTCCACACTCCCCCCCCCACCGTCACCGTCCACACTGCCCCCCCACCGTCGCCGTCCACACTCCCCCACCGCCGTCGCCCTCCACACTCCCCCACCACCGTCACCATTACATTGCCGCACACCGTCGCCACCGTCACCCTCCACACTCCCCCACCACCGTCACCATCACATTGCCGCCCACCGTCGCCACCGTCGCCGTCCACACTCCCCCGCCGTCCGTGCCCGTGCGGGGCAATGTGTGTGCGAGGGTGGGGTGAGTGTGAGGGTGCCCGTGGGGGACCCGAACCGTCGCCGTCCACACTCCCCACACGGGCACCCTCACACTCCCGCCCACCGTCGCCCTCACACTCCCCACCCCACCGTTGCCGTTCACACTCCACCCCCACCGTCGCCCTCCACACTCCCCCCCCACCGTCACCATCCCATTGCCGCCCACCGTCGCCACCATCGCCCTCCACACTCCCCCGCTGTCCGTGCCCGTGCGGGGGAATGTGAGTGCGAGGGTGGGGGTGAGTGTGACGGTGCCCGTGGGGGACCCGAACCGTCGCCGTCCACATTCCCCCACCGTCGCCCTCACCCTCGCCCCCCACCGTCGCCGTCCACACTCCCCCTCCACCGTCGCCGTCCACACTCCCCCCGCACCGTCACCATCACATTGCCGCCCACCGTCGCCAACGTTGCCGTCCACACTCCCCCGCCGTCCGTGCCTGTGCGGGGGAATGTGTGTGCGAGGGTGGGGTGAGCGTGAGGGTGCCCGTGGGGGACCCCAAACGTCGCCGTCCACACTCCCCACACGGGCACCCTCACACTCCCCCCACCGTCACCTTCACATTGCCGCCCACCGTCGCCACCGACACCCTCCACACTCCCCCACCACCGTCACCATCACATTGCCGCCCGCCGTCGCCACCGTCACCCTCCACACTCCCCCACCACCGTGACCATCACATTGCCGCCCACAGTCGCCACCGTCGCCGTCCACACTCCCCCGCCGTCCATGCCCGTGCGGGGCAATGTGTGTGCGAGGGTGGGGTGAGTGTGAGGGTGCCCGTGGGGGACCCGAACCGTCACCGTCCACACTCCCCATACGGGCACCCTCACACTCCCGCCCACCGCTGCCTCACACTCCCCACCCCACCGTCGCCGTTCACACTCCACCCCCACCGTCGCCCTCCACACTCCCCCCCCACCGTCACCATCACATTGCCGCCTACCGTCGCCACCGTCACCCTCCACACTCCCCGGCCATCCGTGCGGGGGAATGTGTGTGCGAGTGTGGGGTGAGTGTGAGGGTGCCCGTGGGGGACTCGAACCGTCGCCGTCCACACTCCCCCCACCGTCGCCCTCACACTCCCCCCCCCATCGTCACCGTCCACACTCCCCCCCCCACCGTCGCCGTCCACACTCCCCCACCGCCGTCGCCCTCCACACTCCCCCACCACCGTCACCATCACATTGCCACCCACAGTCGCCACCGTCGCCGTCCACACTCCCCCGCCGTCCGTGCCTGTGCGGGGGAATGTGTGTGTGAGGGTGGGGTGAGTGTGAGGGTGCCCGTGGGGGACCCCAACCGTCGCCGTCCACACTCCCCACAAGGGCACCCTCAGACTCCCGCCCACCGTCGCCCTCACACTCCCCACCCCACCGTCGCCGTTCACACTCCACCCCCACCGTCGCCCTCCACACTCCACCCCCACCGTCACCATCACATTGCCGCCTACCGTCGCCACCGTCACCCTCCACACTCCCCGGCCATCCGTGCGGGGGAATGTGTGTGCGAGTGTGGGGGTGAGTGTGAGGGTGCCCGTGGGGGACTCGAACCGTCGCCGTCCACACTCCCCCCACCGTCGCCCTCACACTCCCCCCCCCATCGTCACCGTCCACACTCCCCCCCCCACCGTCGCCGTCCACACTCCCCCACCGCCGTCGCCCTCCACACTCCCCCACCACCGTCACCATCACATTGCCACCCACAGTCGCCACCGTCGCCGTCCACACTCCCCCGCCGTCCGTGCCTGTGCGGGGGAATGTGTGTGCGAGGGTGGGGTGAGTGTGAGGGTGCCCGTGGGGGACCCCAACCGTTGCCGTCCACACTCCCCACACGGGCACCCTCAGACTCCCGCCCACCGTCGCCCTCACACTCCCCACCCCACCGTCGCCCTTCACACTCCCCTCCCCACCGTCACCATCACATTGCCGCCCACCGTCACCACCGTCACCATCACATTGCCGCCCACCGTCGCCACCGTCGCCCTCCACACTCCACCGCCGTCCATGCCCGTGCGGGGCAATGTGTGTACGAGGGTGGGGTGGGTGTGAGGGTGCCCGTGGGGGACCCGAACCGTCGCCGTCCACACTCCCCACACGGGCACCCTCACACTCCGTCCCACCGTCGCCCTCACACTCCCCACCCCACCGTCGCCGTTCACACTCCACCCCCACCGTCGCCCTCACAC